TCATTTTTAAATAAACAGTGGTCACATTCACATGTATTTTCAAAAAATCATAAATCACACAGTCAAGTACGAAATAGTTTTAGAGCAACTTTAATCTCTATATATTCTTTTCATGTTTTATTCTACAGTTTTAAAAGTGACTCATGAAGGCCACATGTCATTTGAATGTTGCATCTAACATAATGTGGATTTTTAAGTATTGTAAATTATGAGTTCTCGGGAGTTATATAGTTTGATATGGTTTTGAACAATTTTTCTATGAAAATAATTAGTGTGAATTTTGCTTTCTGCGTGCTTAATACGTCTAAAACTATCACTGTGAAAGTATAAGCAATAAAGTAGCAGTATGCTTTCTATCACATATCAAGGAAATACATCATAATGATTATTGACAGTGTTGCATTTAATGAAGTACATATGTTGCTTATACTGATTTAAACAGCACTGACAAGCTGGTCCGCCAACTTTTCATCAGGCACTTTTAAGATTTGGTAGCCCACATTATTTGTAGGGATTTATAACACTGAAATTACATGCGAGAAATATGCATATCACACAAAGTTGTGGTGACGATTTCAACTTTACGTGGAGGGTAGGGATTGTTTTCACTCATTACCGCATTTTGAAGTAAGCGAGCTCTTCACTATAGCAAATCTACTTTTTCGAGTGCTCGCTCTGCGTGAGAAGTAAAGTGACAGAACTCTCGCTGAAAGCAGTAACAGCGTTGTGTCAGCTGGAATGTTGTATAGAAGATACAACTAAAATGCGAATTATGATTATAAATCAGCATCCGCATTCTACGAAACTGTCCAGGGAATAGTAATACCCCATAGTTATGGAGCTAAAAAATAGTTTCATGCGCAGTGATACAGTCTACACCTTAGATGCAAATGGACGCCTAGGTCTCGCCGAGAGCGAGAGCGACACGAAAGCGGCACGAGACTTTGTTGATCATCAAGTGATGTTGCATTCTTTGTCGTCATACTGTCTACTATGTGATCGACACACACCTTATTATCCAAAGAACATAGAAAACTATCATTACGTGGTATTTGAAACCGAAATTATCTTCCACATTCAATGATTGGTTTTTAAGGTTTGATGAAATCGCATTGAGGAGCGTAAACGTGCTAACATTTAATATAACGTGTGAAGTCGTTGGACAATTCTATTAAACAACATGACGCCCAGTTCAATAACACGATACCAATTTACGCAATCGAAAGGTCATGTGTTTTAGTCGGGTTGGTGTGTGCGGGGTTACCACCGGGCAGGAGAATAATATGCGTCTGGATATTAATATGCGCAGACACGGCGTGAATGCTATAACATGATACCCAGTCATGCTCCGTTTACGTTGCCGAGGACCACTTTGTTTTAATTATTTAGAAAAAAACAAAATAGCTGAATACAAACTTTGGATATTATGTTTTCAATAAGTCAAATAATTTTTATATGTTTATTTTAAGAGGTTTAATTGAGTTGGCGATATTATAGCGACACATAGTTCGTACAAGTACATGCATTGCGCCAGTATCCAATGAGTCATAACGAATGAGTCTTTTAAATGGAATGCCTCCGATGCATTGGTGCAAGTTTCTTGTCATCGTTATGATGGGCAGCGCTGATCAGTTTCTTTTCAACGCGTTAACAGTTTATTTGCTGTGTCGGGTCACCCACATGTTCTGTCTTGTTGTTTTAAAATTATTAGTAACATATTACTGTCACTAAACGTCATAACACGTACAGTCTTCAATACGTCACCACTTCAGTTCAGGCTGGTGATTGGGAAATACGTTGTCACAGTATTCATTGTTGCTTTATATTCCTAACGCACTCTGGCTTCCATTGGTGAATAAACGCACTTATGTCAATATTATTCCCTCTCCAGTTACTTTGTAAAGCCTCTCCATTAGCTCCAGGCTGAGTAAACACACCGTTCTCGTGAAACTTCGTGTACACATATCTAAGTATATACTTACATTCACCAGTACGTCCATGCATTCACCCATTTGAAACCCAAAGTGTGTATGTATTTCTAAAACCATAGCCATCGAAATTATCACAATCATACCAGTACATATCACAAGCGACTGAAACGTCCCCTAAGAGGAGTCTTTATTGCATATGCATGCATGCGTCTTGAGTGTATAATACGTCAAATGGTTGGTCTGGAATATATCAAGTCAATGGAAAGGTTTAATTAGGTTGAAGTAAACACTCATTCATCTTAAAAAATTGGCAAAAAAAACACAAAACCAAGCTTTGAAAAGAGTCTTTTCGGAGTGTGTCATTGTGCAACCAGAATTTGTTATATGGTAAGGTCAAAATATGACATACTATTTTTACCGAGGTGATACTAGTACTTTTTTGGCGTGCATTATGCTAACTAATGAACAACTGAGTCGGTTCCATCTTAATTCGCACAATAAACATATGCATACACTCAATCTCCTGGCCACTCGGATCTGTGCCGGTTGATTTGGCGTTTAGCTCCGTAACGGTTATTCTCATTATTATTATTAATCGGGTCAGAATGTACACACTAACTGATTGGTGCAGGAATGTGTTTAATCATTTAATCAAGCAAGATTAATTGCCAGTTGAAAACGAAGGAACACTTATTATCCCGGAAATGTATTGCCAAAATTAACTAAATATAATTTATGTAAAAGTTTGATTAATTTAAATATTTCTTGATAAAAATGTTATATAACAATATATAATAATGTGAAGATGTGAATAAATTACTTAGCCCAATTAACTGTTGTCAAGATTAACACCAACTGAGTTTGATTCCGAAGAAACGTTATACTGTACTGCAGCGCACTTCACGAAGTAACTGATGAAGGTCACCTTCAACATCAACCAACGTTGACTTCAAAAATTCGCATTTTATCGATCGACAGAGGTTTAAAAGACACTAATATAAAATTAACTTAGTAGTTCATTAAATATACTAGTATTTTAAAACCTGTCCAGCTGTGGAATTGACAGCGTATGTCATAAATGTGCACTGTCACGTTCATGGCACGGATGTAGAGCTTTATGGTTTGCAACCCCTGTACTGTAATGGTATCTTCCAATTTAAATATTAGTATATACTACCTAACGCCTAACGTCGAGAATAGCCTGCTTAGAATTCTACTTTCAACTATACTTACGTGCATCATTAGGCGCATGTGAGTTAGGAAACATTTTGACAATGAATCACGATTTCAATTACGTCATCAACCGATAAATTTTACCAGTATGGTTCGTGACATAAAGCCACAACGTGAGTCTAACCGCATGCCAATAGCACGTACGTATTGGTTTCTTGGGATATTTCAATCATATTGTATTATTGAAGACAAGAAATCAACGTGTGTATCAACATTATTCAACAAGCTGAGGCGACAGTTTCTTCACACTTTGTTTAGTTTTTAGAAGCCAAGTGTAAGTAATTTGTACAAATATGTAAACCTTTTTCAGCCATTAAATTAGTAACACATGGTTACATTAACGTCCACCAACGCACGAAATTGCAATTTTGAGGTAATTTTAGAACACATTCAAGCCATATTTATCGTGCTGTCTTCCAAATCGTAAAAATAACTGAGTTGAGTTTATAGTTTGCTTGACAGCACCTCTCTATGTATTTCCAAAAAAACGTTAACTAATTTCCCATGAGCAACAATGTTTGGATCATGACTATAAAAATAAGCACAGACATTTGTTGAAACCAAAAAATGTCCACTTATTTGCCAACAACCCACAACATGGTCCAGTCTTATTGCAATGATGTATTTTCAATAACACGTTAGATCGTCGACACCAGAGAGATGCAAGACGTTTAGATTGAGGGGGGGTCGTTCCTTCTGCGCACGCGCGGAGATCGACTCCGAATCGACAATACACGTAAAAACGCAAAGGCTCACGGAAAGATGTTTATTCGTAAACAACACGCTATCGCGCGAGCTAATAAGCCGCTTTTAAACCAAAAAAAATGTGATCACTTTGAAAACAAAATGACGAACGTGCGTAAGTGCTGTATAACGTCTTGTATCTGCGCCAAGTTTTGGCTAAATCGAGCAGGCAGGTTGCTATAGTAACACTCTGACGATGAAAGATACGTTGTAAACATCTGGAGGACCACTGTATGCGAATGGACCCGGATATAATGAAAATACATCGTTACAAACTCATCAATTCCACGACATAAATCATGCATACATCAATTCATTATAAGAATCTTAAAATAGAAGCGCAATATGAAACTGAATCTAATACAAACTTAGGGTGATATTCAACGCCAGTGGACTGTGATGTCATGCGAGCTTATTATCGATACAAACTTTTTTGAGGTCAAAGTTTGTACGCGTGTGAGGTCAAAGTACACACGCACATCATAATCTTATAACAAGATATAAAGCTCAACGTGGTATACAGAGCAGAATTTTAAACTTACCATTGAAACATTTTACTGCGATAATTGCAATGTTCTAATGCACTTATCAATGTTTTTCACGGAGGGGCGGGCTGTCGTTCTCATATGAAGGGAATTTGACAACGCCCTCAAAATTTGCTGCAGCTTTCAAAATACAATTCGAACGAAAATCTACCAAGAATCTAAAATCGACAATATTGAATGACAGAAGCTCGCTGAAATCTTAACACTTAGCAATTCCCTGCCATTCATGCATATAACAACACAAAACAGTATCTCTCTCGGCACGTTTTGTCCATTGTTTTAAACAACATTCAAAGTTTTTTTTGCGAATTTATTAATTCCATAATCGGTTGAACGAACTACAATTTATAACATTTGCACATATCAATATTTTGCAGCACATTTTTTCGATAATTTTTAATTTCAACGTAAACAATTTTGGATTAAATGAATATAATTCCCGTTAACTTGGTCAAAATCGTTTTATGGTTGTTTGATGAAATGTCCTGGCGTTCAAAGTATTAAATGTTACATTATGACAGACAACATACAAATTACAATCATATTTACATAAAATTGTCATTTAATTACAAATTGCATAAGATTTACGACATCGGTTACAAAAAACATAGAAGATGTACAAATTAACCAAACAATGGTGATTATTTTGACGGGCGAATAAATTCGATACAACAGGGACACGTGAATTTGACGTCTTTGCTAATGTGCTGTTTGGTATATTGTAGTTTTATGGCAATTAGTATTATCGGCATTGTAGAATTCTTTATCTGTGCTGAAACGATGGACAACTGTGTGATAACATTCACAGAAATAATTCTTGCATTTTTTTGTTTCATTCACTTCGTAATATTTGTGCGTATTATTCTGTGTTGGTGTTTCAGCCTCCCTTTCTCTCATTCTGACAGATGGGAAGGATTCCATGAGTGTAATTTGTCATTTATTACGCTAATAACGGTTTCTTCTCGTCGTCATCCTGGATGTTCAGTTGCCTGGATACTGCCGGATTAATTTTTCTCCTGTAAAATAGTTAAAACAAACTCGATATTCATAGTTTAAATATTATAACACACAATAGTTTCAGATTACCCGTGGATGGAGTTAATTTATAACTTTTAATGAAAAACAGTTATAAGCTGAAAATGACACTTAAAAGCGGTCTGACCAATCAGAACGCCTGTCTCATTGATATATTGAGGATGACGCACTCCAAAAGCGGCCGCCATTATCACAACCAATGACAATTCTTGGTTGGGTATACACTTTTTCGCGGATAGAAGATGATGAACGAGGGCACCCCAATAGCAAATCACAACCTTTTGTTTGAATTGGAATGTACATTTTATAAGTATTTAATTAAAGCGCAAACGTTCTACGCCGTGCATATTGACACAGACGCAGTTTTGATACAAACAGGACACGGGATCAAAAGTTGAATGTCCACCGCGAATTGGATTTGAAAGCTACGGTACTTGTGTATTTAATTCATATGGCCGATCACCAAACATTTTTTTCCCACATTCTAAGTTTTACATCGTTACATTTCTAAACCACTGCATTTAATATTACAGTTTATATATGGTAGAAATATAAACGAATTGCCGCTTTCAAATATCTTTACATAAAGGGACGATTGAGGATTATTTACCTTGTTCCACATCGATATTCCCACAAACAGAATAATATGAGTGTCGTCGCCACAAATGCATACATCCCAGAAAAACACGTCGAAGTCCATTCAAATCCGATGTGAGAAACCATTGCACTACCCACTGTGGGACCGAGAAAATTCCTAAGGATTTTATAGAATACAAACTGGTCAAGTATAATTATGAGGTGGCATAAAATAGCATCACGTTTAAAAACATCTTTCGAAAAGAATGCAATCACCAATTTTCAAACAGTTAAACAGTAAGATACGCCATTCCTATATGTGCGCCCTCTAGCGACGAAGCGATTCTGTGACGTCGAATTACTATTTTCTTCATGGCTGACCAAATACATAACTACGCACAGATTTGGCTTTGAACGAAATTACTTTCTCCAGTCTATGTCATTTTAACGCAGTTGAAATGTTTCCTCGTTAGAGGGCACTGTTTACAGGAAAAGTCATAGAAAGTGGACACGTCTCCACAACAACATTGCTGTTTATACAATATATACAACAACGAAGATATATGGACCGAAAAAATCTTAAATTAACCCACCCAAGCGAGAAGAGTGATGAGAAAAGTCCTGAAATGATACCGTATGTACTGATGTTTTCCTCCATTCCATGCAATCTGGAATAAAATTGAATAATCAAACTAAAATCAGAGAGGGGTTAATCTTACTAGATCGGACTAGTTGGGATAAATCTAAACATCTCTTCAGGAATACAAGTGTTCTACAATGCATGCAGAAATCCCAGGTAGTCGTGCTTTTGTGATCGACTATGATAACCAAATTTGACTATTTGACCTGCCGAACTATCACACACACTCTAGCACACATTTTAAAGATAATAGTCTCAGTAACTTTATTGATATATGGTGATTTTACGTCCTGTTTCACGGGGTGTCGTGTTACTAAAGCAAGTTACTAAAGGGCACCTACTACAATTCGCGTACTGTGAACAGGGAACGAATCAAAGGTAACATGAAGTGAATTTATGAACAAGAGAACACATTTGAAAGACGTAGTTCAATATAAGCTTGTCGTGCGAAATGGACTGTTACCGTCTTGTTTTCACTATAGAATCTCTGTTGAACATCGCCGTCATGTTGCTTATCCTCGGGGACGGAGCTACGTCAAAGACGTTCCACGTTGTTAAGACGCGCACCACGGTACCATGCATTTCTATGGGCTCTGTGCGCGTTGCTGTGGAACGCCGGTCGAGCCGGTGAAAATTCGAGAAAACAACACAAACTCAACTTTGAAGTAATCCCGAACAATCAAATTTATATATGTTACACACGTAGGGCTAATCTTGTTGCCTTGTTCAGAGTCGTCTCAACAATCACCCTAAAGTACCGTTTTCTGCGAGTTTTGGGCCTTTGTTTTCACCGCCGCGGGTTGCCAGGCGGTGAAAATGCCCGGATGTCCGCCCCGAGGATTGAGCTTACGTCAATATGGCCATTGCCATTAATCGGTTCGCTCGGACATGTATAAAATAAAAAGGTATTTTGTGCAACAGGGTAGCATTGTCCGTTGTTCGTTTGTGCGCACATTCTTGCCTCTTTGTTGAAAGCTATCTATTTTACATTTGTAAATAGAGTGCAGAGAAATGTACAACAAAATGTAGAAATGTTAAATAATGTACCTTGCTGACGAAAGCATCTCGTTGAACGTTGGCAAGACAGACGCCGCCAACGACAAACCCAGCATTACCAAACTAAACGCCACGAGCCACAATTCACTGGAAAATAATATGTCAGAAATGAAGTAAAAAATAAATACATGTGTACCGTGACAGAAATGAATTGCCGACATGAACCACTCGGCAGGATATACTTATTCCAAATCCAGAACATTTAATTTTAATCTTAAACAAATTCTGAATTAAACATTCAATTCACCAATGAAGATATATAAGGTATAACAAAGTGAATATCAAGTTGTAACTTTGTCAGGCCATGCATCACAGTTGTACCAATAGTGTCAGGAAAAGAACTAACAATGACAATGAACTTGAATCACACTATCCAGTCATATATAGGAGATTTAACTATAGTGTGTAACAATTCTTCGCATCGCACCATAGTCGCCTTCGCCTCGGGTATTGACCTACCTTTTGATATTCAGTAGTGGCGAAGGTCCAATGTAGATGAAACCAATGATGCTGGCTATATTACCAATGATCATCAACACTTTAGGAATATCCTACAACACGTACAAATGTCAGAGATATTTGGGGAAATAAATTGTCGTGTTTTATTCTCATACCCAGTCTCGGTAAACGAGAGATAGTTTCACCAGCAAAATAGGATGTCACTGAAGCAGTACTTTAATCTATCCTCGGGGGCGGAGCTACGTCACTAGACGTTCTACATTGCTACGACGCGCACCACTGTACATGCATTTCTATGGGCTCTGTGCGCGCTGCTGTGGAACGCCGGTCGAGCCGGTGAAAATTCGAGAAAACAACACAAACTCAACTTTGAAGTAATCCCGAACAACCAAATTTATATATGTTACACACGTAGGGCTAATCCTGTTACACTGTTCAGATGAGTCTCGACAATCATCCCAAAATACCGTTTTCTGCGAGTTTTGGGCATTTGTTTTCACCGCCTCCGGTTGCCAGGCGATGAAAATGCCCGGATGTCCGCCCCCGAGGATAGAATTATTCTCAGGAGGTGGATATTATCCTTGCCACTCAATGGTGAAAGGTTTCATTATGAGTTTTTGATTGTTCAGTGAACTATACTTAAATGCGCATGCGCTTTGCATTGTTGGTACCTACCGGTCCTGCTAATTGAACGTACATGCCCATTTGAGCAGACCTATACAGTTACTTTGGCCATGACAAAAACAATCTTTTTCTGTGGTAAATCATACTACACTATATGAAATAGCAGAAAATCATTTTGTTGAACGGTACGATTTTTACAGTGTTATGAACACCGCATACGCCTACATGCACGTTCGTGCGCAATCTTGCCCCGGTGAAAGGTGGTTGCAACTGCATGATCAGTTCAAATCAGAAACCCTCTACAACATCGACTGGTCATAAATTTGTTATATTGTTGACTTCAGTACTTACGTATTTATCAGTGAGCCAACCCCAGAAAAATGCCGACACTGCATACGCACCCGAGTTTGCTAGAAACATCAGTCCGATTTGTGTCGCTGAAAGATCAAACTGTGAAAGAGTCGGAGATAATTATAATGAAGCCAGTTTCAGTTAAAGGGCAGTGGTCGTCGCGCCACGCATGAGCGAGTTATGGGACCTATATAAACAAAGATGGCGACTTTGGCGGACCAGCAAGTACAATCTGATACGTTACAAAGCATTACTAACAAGGTCATTTCTTTGGTGATTTGGTTGATAGGGGAGTCACCGACGTAATTTATTGCACGTTGCACCCAGATCAAAACACGTACTCGTACTTTTCATTAGAAGAGCGCATTGGATTGTGGGAAAATCAATGTTTATCAACACAAATTTCGCGTCGCGACGACCACCACCCTTCAAGGCGCCACAATAATGAACTCTGTGTGGAGCGACTGCTGGTCGCTTTAATGATTGGCAGTTATACAACATGGTAACAGCTATATGTAACTTTCAAGAGTAATGGAGCTTATACCAGATGAGCAGATTTAATTAATCAATTTCAGTAAAACTGTTTTAGCTGAATCGGCAGAACTGAGCCCTCTGGTGACAACGCGTTTCAACGACGCGTCGTCCGTCATTTGGCACAGAGAACAGGGCACTTAAAAACCACAGAACAATTGTGAGGGATTTCCATCAACCCATCAGTTTAAGAGACTGAAGTATTTTGCCGCGGCGTAAACGTGTAATGTCACTTGCCTGACTGAGATGGTCCGCTAGAGTGGGATCAAGAAATCCAATTCCCATGAAACCGCACAACACGCATATAGATGTCATTATAATCGACGGTATTTTCAGCAATTGTATCAGAGAACCCGAACGATGAGATTCGTCTGAAAACAGGATTAAAAAAGTCAGCTTGATGCATTACGTGTGCAAATATGTTACGTAGCGTGACGCGGTATGTTACGTGTGAATGTACGGCGTAGCGTGGCGTGATGGTTACGTGAGAAATGGGCGACGTAGCCTTATATGGGTCTTCCGCGTGAAATGTGCGGCGTTGCGAGATGTGGGCGTTACGTGTGAAATATGCGACATACTATAACTTGGTGCGTTACGTGTGAAATGTGCGACGTGGCATAACTTGGTATGTTACGTGTGAAATGTGTGACGTAGCATAACTTGGTACGTTATGTGTGAAATGTACGGCGTAGAGTGATAAGGGCGTTGCGTGTGAAATGTGATGTAATGTGTTACCTGTGAAGTGTGCAACATAGCGTGAAGTGATGTTTTCCATCTGGAATGTGCGACATAGAGAGAAGTGATGTGTGAAATGTGCGACATAGCGCGACGTGGTGCGCTGCATGTGAAATGTACGGCGTAACGTGAACCGATACGTCACATGTATTAAATGAGCGAGAAAATGCGTTACACGTGAAATCTCCAAAGTATCGTGACGTGATGAGTGCGACGTAGTATGGCATTACACCAACGGTGTAGTAGTACAGTCAATATTTCATTTGATTCCACTGACAAATTATAGATTGAAGATTATTTGATGGCGTAATATAGTAATATTTAAATGACGAGCCTTTTTCGTAGGTCGAGTAAATAGTGATTTACCTCCTTCGCTTGGAACAATGAAATAGTTGACGACGACGATTCCCATACTGAATAACCCCCAGACCACAAACGGTAATGTATATCCTCCTGCCTAAAACAAAGAGTATGTATTAGATAAATAAATGGTAAGCTCAGTGAGGCGGGGTCGCGTGAGTTGCGCCCTCCGCGGTGCTCCAAAGTGAGGCCTGATGCCGTTTGGCCGGCGAGGGCCTACTCACGCCTACATGTAAGGCTAAGTGAGGAAGAGTCTCTTCACTAAAAGACATGTGACTATAAGGCTTTAGTTTTGGCGAAGTCCCTTGAAAATGAGAAAGTTTCCATTTTCTGTTTTTTACTACTCCGTCCATCGTGAAGAACTCAGTCCAACAAAGGAAGAACCAGAGACCCAATGCTCGAAAGCAGTCATCGAAACATTTATCGATAATCCGAATACTAAACGACATAATAAAACACATGATCATAATATACAATTTATCCAAAAAGAGGATTGCTTCATCAAATCGAAAATGTAAATTGTTAGTTATACATAACAGTTGTTCGTTGTTAGGAGTTATGTGTCTCAGAGGCATTTCTTGTGAACTCACCTGATATAGTGCGCCACCAACAGGTGGGCCAATCATTAATCCAAGGCCACAGAATATTTCTATCGTACCCTGCAAAAAATGATCCAGTATATTATCGCTTTGCATCGCAGAAGCAACCGAAAGTGAAAACAATGTCCCAGAATATCCTACTTGCTTTACCACTTACAAATGCTGTTGTTATATTCTGGCGGAACGTCTTGGCAATAATGGAGTACGCCCCTGTACTACTAGCAGCGGCACCGATTGCCTCTAAAATCCGGGTTATGAAACAGAATGTCACAAATTGAGTCCCAGGTGCTAAGCGATTAAGAAATCTGCAAAATGAAAAGAATAAAAACTTTTGAATTTATATTAGTCTGAAAAAAAATCTCCATCGCCTGATATGACGAACATGTCATGTCACTGTCTATTGATTTTAAGTTTATGAAAAAATATAAAACATAATGTTGCAGCGACAATATTTATTTGTTTTAAAAAATGTAGGAAACACTGCGTTTTGTTTTACGAGTACGTCATGATTTATTTTTAGAATCTGTAGAAACGCTGTCTAGCAACCCAATTGGAATTTAAAGATGCACTCACCCGAATATAAAACATGTCCCACCGCCCATAAACGAGCCAGCAAGAAATAAAAACTTCGCACCAACTATAGGAATCTGTGAAACAAAATGACTTCCAAATAAATTACAAAATTAAAATTATTAAATAAATCATCAAAATATATTTCATATTTTGCTGAAAAACGTTTTGTTGGTAAAAGCATGGAAGGTACTAACGAACCTTCCATGGTGTAAGTATAAGTCGTCGCGTTCAATACGAGACCCCTGCAACCTATGTTTGTTTATACACGAAATCTGACTTCGTTACATAATACTAGCGTTTACGCACATCTCCTTAGCACGGGATATAAGGTCAAATACCTTCGTCCTTTCTAAGAAAACGTGCGTGAACGCTTCGCATGCACTGAGAAACGGTAAGTACGGAAAAAATCTTTTTTAAGACCCAGTCCAGATCCTTAGCACGCGCTAACGAAGTGTGCGTGAACGCTTCGCTCGGTCTATGGAACTATAAACCCCAGTTCCATGCTCGGTCTAAGCACCCAAAACGCCATTGTATTCAAAGATTTACTATTACCAGGGTATATTCATAACTGTTTCATAACATTTTGGCATGCCATATCCGACATTACAATCAACGGAGCACATATCTTGTTCTCGAGAAAAAAGATAAACTGACGATGAGACTCTTCCTGTTAATCTGCACTTTTTTGAATTTGCTTTGGTATTGTTTAATAACAGTAGAGCTAACTTATATACCTTCCTGGTTATTATACTGAGTAATCATAATAGTAGTTAAAATGAACGGAGATATTTCTATATTCGTAACAAGTTTGGACATTCCTTTGTCCATGCTAACCACTGTTTCCTTCGTGCGTGTACGCAATTGGGTCTATCAGATATGCAAACATATGAGATTAGCTAAAGTCTGTACTTCCTGTAGTGTGATTTCTGTGTTTGAAAGCATCAGGGTGCAATGTTACATAATATCACAACACATACATTTTGGTTTGGATTACCCTGAATTTGAATAACAACACTCTTTTCTTTCTATCTCCACATCAAGGCCACATGTAAAGTTTATTTATCGTATTGGGTTACAACTATTGACTTTATGCAAATACTAATCCTTAATTACACATCAATATGCCAACGACGGTTTGCATTCAATTCATTCATACTACAGCTTCTGACCATATATACTAGTAGTTGCACCACAGTCCCTCTATCACTTCCCTCCATCGTCATGTCCAGACTTCATGTTACTAGTATGAATCAGTATAAATTAAATTCACCACCGAGGGCGTGATTTCGGTTCGTGCCGAGCATTCACGTAGCAAATGCCGGCACGTTCCGAGTTTTGGTCCTGAGGATTTATCGGGACCGAGATCGAGGTTTTTTTTTTTTTTGTATATTTATTCATACTCACCAATTTTCCAAATATAGGAGAAAATATAAACATGGTTAATGCGTAAGAGCCGAATATTAGACCAACTTGGGTTGTACTTGTTCCCATTTTAGCGGCCTATCATATTAAAAAGTAAGAAATAAATCATTAAAACATGATTTGATGAAAGAATGAATAAATGAATTATTGAATCAATGAACGAACTATTCTGCCGAATATAACCAATCGTTCATTGACAGCAACACAGTCACTTTCACTCATCATCATTTTACCTCTATGCACTCATAGAGTGACTGTGACAGCAATCAGATTAAACCTATATGGAAACACCAATCACAAACTCGTGGGTGGCTAATGTATTGGAAAAAACAACTGCACAAGAAAAATGAAAAGCAAAAACGCTGGAAAATGACATCCAAAACGAAACGAAAAAACAAAAAAAAAACATGTACGTCAAAATGTGCTAGGAGAACCTCATATTCCAAACTACTATATTAGTCTTCTGTCGTAGTCTGGGCTCGTATCTCTGCTGTTGCTCATTGCATCTCAGACAACTAATGAATTCTGAGATTGCATGGAGATGCATTTCATTGTATATGCCTAAACCACAGTCAGCTG